CACAGGCCACTATAGGCCTCAGTCAGGACTGGTGATTCATAGAGGTTCATGTACTATGAATCAGCTCCCATCGAAAGGGGCCTCAGACAGACTCACAGATAAACATAGAAAGCCAATTGGTAAGCAGGAGTATCTCCCCACAGAGGTCACAGTGGTCTACCTTTGGGCTCAGTGTCAACTCTCTGAGCCTCTCCACTACGTTGGCCACATGGCAACCGAGCCTCAGATTTTCAGACTGGTAAGGCGCTCAGCACACAGGCCAGTGGCTCATTCCTTGTTCATGTCCCATGGACTCATAGCTTGAAGTGATGCACAGTTTACAGAAAGTGTGGCCACAAGTTTTGTCATGAGCTCCAAGCAGATGAGACAGGTTACCCCCTCCTTGATTCTCCTCAGGATGGACAAAGCCATGGATGCCAGTTCTCTCCTCCTGTCTTTCCTGACTCTGAGCTTTCTCCTGCTCTGGATTCAGAAGTTGGGAAAATTAAAATGGGACAGAGTAAGAAAGGTAGGAATAGAATGTATACTGAGTAAGCAAATATTACATAGGCATAAAGGCCAAAATACCAAAAGCCAAAAAAGAAAAAGGATTGAAACAACAGCAAACATTTACTTACATCATACTAACTATGTCATAAGAATTTCAGGCACTTTACCCTCAGTTCATCATATGATCAAATTTATATATAGAATAATTTTGAGTGTTTCTTTTTTACTAGAAAGGAGAAATGGAGTCCTTTTCTACCAAAATTCTTGCTCAGTCCTTTTTTTTTCTTTCGACAATTTGAGTGACTCCCCTTGAGTGCAGAACTATTGCTGCACTCAATTGCTGAACAATTGCTTTGATTATATGGAAACTTATTTCCTTACACTGATATGTACAGATCTGGTTACAGTATTTCCTTGTCTCTTCAATTGATTCTAAGTACTGCAAATAATGGAGATACTGGTATGTAATATCTAAAGCCATCAGTCTCCTGTTTCCTCACATTGTGTTCTCTCTAAAATATATAAGCACAGCCAGATGTTAGAGCCATTAGCTCCAGGAATGTCAACTAGGTAGAGCCTCAAGACTAGGACTCCTCAAGGCACAAAAGTTTACATATCAGTGTAACCTAAGCAAACAGCCTCTAAAAACAATTCAGTTGCTATCTTAATTGAATTATGCAAACTGATCCTTCTGCATATCATTATCCCTGCATTTTGCAGAGATGCTTTTCTCCCTACCTGACTAGCCAGCTCAAATTACTCATGTAGTTCCTGCCATCCTCACCATCCATCATTTATCCTCAAACCCCCCTTCACAAGATAATAAGTTCTGGGGGAGGCCTAGGATCAGTGCCTTTGTCTGCACATCCTCACAGGGATTGGATTTAGGGCCCCTTGGCTGCCCTTAACTTGGAATATGTCTTGGTGTCTTTACTCTCGCCATGAGTTGCACTGGAGGTGGTAGATTGGAATTAACTTGCTGGGATTCCAGTAACGTCTCAATGGGATTGTAACTATAGTCTTTTGGATTGTGAGGAAGACTAGAAAAGGGATTACAATACTTGGATGACTGTACCCAATATTTGGGATTACAGTAATTACCAAAACTACCAAATCTCTTGTATCACAGGATACTTGTGATACCATTGCTATCAACATGTTTCTATTCCTATACTTCCTGTACAAGTTATCTTCTCAAACACAGTCGCTCTAACTCCCCCATCTAAACAGTTTCACCACTTGCTATTCATATGTGGTAATTTTATTTTTAATGAGAAAAATAAACTAATCCTTTTATTAAATGTACAAATGGAACAGTAAATGACTTCCAAAGACAAAAGGGTGGTACCTGGATTCATGAAATTGAATCTCTGCATGATACTGATTACAAACTGAGTTAGAGGACAGAATCAAATTCAGTAGTTTGGTTCAATGCTAAAATTATTGGGAAATTTGATTTGGTTTTTGCCTGGGGTTTAGCACAGTAGCAGAGGACCTGTTGCAGGCACAAAGGCTGATTTGATTCTTGTTTAGTTCAGTATATAACCTGAATCATGGAGAAAGTTTAGTTTGTGAATCACATTACTACTGTGTATTTTCATTATTTTTTCCTGTATTAACCCACTCGATCCTCCTTTGGAAGTTTCTCCTCTACCCCATATATAGATAACTACAAATACAGATAACTACATAACAGCACTCATAAAAATGTGGATATAGAGTCAGGCTTCTGAATGCTAGTTAGTTCCAGAATAATGATTGTACATTGTAGGATTTTATTTCAGCCTTGAAACCTTGAAATTTACCAAGGGCGTGGAAAGGGGTCTAAAGGGAGATGACATAAATATACTTTAGAATACCAAATATCAGAGACATGAAAAACATAATCTCAGAGAAATTAGGTGCTGTTTTTTTTTTCCCAGAAGTCCCCAAACATTAGATCTGATCACCTGGGAAGTCATTATTAATAATGGGTTGTGTCCTAGTAGCTTGACAAATCTAAAATGAAAGATGATGCTCAAGAGGCCAAACATGGTATAAAGCACTGTTAAGGACTTGACATTCAACTTGAAAATCATAGGAATTAAATAATCAGAAAGAGAAAAGGTGACAAACAGTGCTAGAGAAATATACCTATAGTTACAAAATTAAATGCTGTGATAAGGTTGTTATGCTAGAATTACAACCTAAAAATAAAAGGTTTTAACAGAAGTCTAAAGAATATGAAGGACATATGTGTTAAAAAAGAGACAAATGTGATAGGCATTAGAAATGACACACATAAATGGCCAGATGTTTGAATCAACTGAGAAAGATTTTAAAGCAGTTCTTGCAACTATGGTCAATGTGGTAGATTAACTAATGGTGGATTTGTAACATCTGGCTGAACTGAATCAGTGTGGTGCTGGGTGTGGACAGCCCACCTGAGCACTGTTGCCAACAGCATAAAAGCAGAACTGGAGGGGAAGATGGTGTGTGGCTGGCCCTCTGGAGAAGCTTGTCACACTGGATTTCCCTATAACATCTCAGCTGTTCCATCCTCCGAGAAGCTTGCAGCCTCACTGTCACTGCGGTTCTCTTTGGAGGACCACTGGTCCTTACCTTGAGCTTCACTTCCTGGCTCCAGTACAGATCCCTCAGCCTGCGCACACAGATCCATCATTCCACTTGTTCAGGCATTCTAGCTTCCACCACTGACCCCTGGGCCTTCCCAGTGCAGATCTTTGATAGAGACTTGTGTGAGATGTCGTGAATTCTGGGCCTCCAATTGGACTTGCTGATGACACTGCTTTGGGCTGTAGGTTTCAGCCAGACTCATGGATTCTTCAGGTTTCTAATGAGCAGACAGATCTCTTGATCTCCTTTGCATTTGATTCTTTGGGAGATTATAAAATAATCTTATAAATTACGACTCGTGCATTAAATCATTTTCCATGTAAACTGATTACAACAACCAGTTTAATGAACACATATCTGTAGATACAAAAAACAGATTACTTTTCTCTATTATTTTTTCTGTGTATGAGTTTCCAGATATCACTGTGGCAATTAACACCACAGTGTGCTGTAACCTTAATTCTCCGATGAGTCCAAGTTGTTGATACTTATTTGGTTCTTTCCTGGGTTTTTTTTTGTTTGTTTGTTTGGTTTTTTTTTTTTTTTTTTTTTTTTTTGGTCTTTTTGAGTCTTGCTATGCTATGCTGTGCAGGCTGGTCTTGAGCTCACTTTATAGCTCAGGCTGGTCTCGAACTCTAAACAATCATCCTGCACCAGCCTCCTCAGTGCTGGGATTTCAAACGTGCAGCACCACACCCAGCTTCAATTTTTTTCTTTTTTTGAAGGACGAGAATAATGATTCTTAAGCTTGTTACATGTTGGAGTCCTAACTGGAAGTTTTTGATGTTCTTTTGTATATCTGAAATAACTTTTGTTGGCAATCCCTTCTCCTGCCCAGCTCTCTGCATTTTTTAGGCTGCTAGTTCACCTGAGGATCAGTTGTGGAAGAGATGGAGATCTAAATGTAAAAATGTAATGTTTGGTTTTCACCAAACACTGTATTCACTGCACAATTCTCTTTCTATTTCATTGAAGAACACACATTTTCCTCATTGATGTGAAATACCACAACTTTCTACCTCAATGAAATGACTAAAGCTAAGCAGGGCAAACAATACTCAACACACTATTGTTGAGACTTACTCCCCATGGACTTGTTACTACCTGTAGAATCATGCCTAATAAACACAATATTCAGCCTGGCATGGCTGAATCCTAATATCTGAGGGCCAGGAGGATACCAACTTCCAGCTTACCCCAGGCAGATTGAGAATGTCACAGAATCAGAACTGAAAAAACATGGGGACGTAGTAAGATGTAACTCAACATGAAGGTCCTAAGTTTAATACTCAATACCAATAAAACATAACAAATAAATGAATTAATAAATACTTATTAATATTGGATTTAAAAATATGGAACGGTGCTTTCTAAACAGAATTTTGCAGAAATATGACTAGATACCTATAAAATTAGAAACACTCATTTTGTAAACAGAAACAAAAGACTTGCTAATAATAGAAATTCTGTGATCTTTTAAGTATAGTCTGTTTTTTACTTTATTTCTTTTTTTCTTTTTTTTTTTGGTACCAGGGATTGAACCCATGACCTCACACTTGCCAGGCAGGCACTTAAGCCACTGAGCTAAATCCCTGGCCTATAGTCTGTTTTTTAAAATAATACTTCAGGGTGAAGTTTCTGTCAGTGAATTTAAACATATGCTTTAAATAATTTATTTCAGTCAAGTGAAAATGAGCCAACACTTAAGACACCAAGCTGGGTTGGTACTGCTTCTGTGGCAAGCACAGGATGAGTGTTTGATTTTTAAGATGTGAGATACATTTTTTTATTATTTATTTTATACAAATGGTAATCTGATTTCCACAGAATGTATTTTATTGGGACCAATATTTAGTGATACCAGAATCACCCACACGCACAGGACATTTTGAAACTGTGAGAAAGAATATATATGGCAAAATTGCAGTAGTATTTAACAATACAGCCTAAAAATGTGACTTCTCTGCCATCGACTGTAGTTCCCTTTTGTGTGGACCATTTCACGGAACAAGGTTGCTTCTTATTTCTTTTGTTTTGTTTTGTGAGAGGGTCTCACTATGTAGTTCAGGCCGGCCTTGAGTTCACTATGTAGGGCACGATTGATTCAAACTTGCACTGATTCCTGTCTCAGTCTCCTGACTGCTGGAACTGCTTCTTATGGTTTTGTGTTTTTAGATTATTACTAGAACACATATTTATGAGACACTTCAGAAGGTGCTTAATACTCAATTTATTCTCTCCCAGTGATCATAGTTAGCAGGTACAGTGCTCATACAAAACGCCTACAAGAAAACACACACAGCATTCAAGCACATTACTCAAAGTTACACTGCCAAGATAAGCAGATATAAGATTTGAACATGGATACTCTGAACACAAAATCTCTTAAGTATCATTGATATATTTTTCCTTAAAAATTTTTTTATTTTTATTAATACATGTTTTCAGTATATACAGACTTAAATTCATCATGAGATGGTATACATACATAACACAGTATAATTTTTTGATGTCCCCTTCTCCCCTCCCATCACTTAGTCTCTTCCTGGCTTGAAAAAGATCTCTGACCCTATTTTCTATGGGATTAAACTGATGACCTCGCATAGGGCCGCTAAACTAAACCCCCGGCCCTATGACTTTGTTTTCTATGACAGACTGTTTTTCACCCCTAGATGAAAAAGAAGCATCACGGTAAATTGAGCTATTCTACTATTAAAGTCTCATTCTTCAGTGAGAATACTCTTATAAACAGTCTTCCATGTATAGAAAGTTAGGTGAAGGGAATGGAGAAGGGGCTCAGCGGCATAAGGACGTGCTTTGCAAGCACGTAGTCCTGAGTTCGATCCTCGGTACCGATTAAAAAAAAAAAAAGTTAGATGAAAACTTTCCTTCGTTTTTTTCTCAGTGGCAGAGAACAAAGTTGTAAAGATTGGGCCCAGAATTTACCTTAGTAATGGTTTTTCTTAGAAGAACTTGGTCATTTCTTTGGAAGTCTGGGAAGGGATAAGATTTTATCCTGAGCAAATGAGAGATTGGGAAGAAAATAGCGCCAGAGAATGCATAGATCCCACAGTGAGTAAAGGACGTCCAAATGGGAGACCAGGAGACAGCAGGCAGAGAGGCTAAAAAGGAGCAGGGTACTCAGAGGCAGGAGATGCACACCTCGGCCAGAGGCTCAGCAGGGAAGAAGAAGAGCATGTAAGAAAGTTCACATGTTCGGCCCACAAAATGTCACCGACTCTGAACATCCCTCAGGACTGAAAAATGGAAAAACATTACCAGGAAAGGACACCGAGGAGAGAATTTATAGATGTGAAACCCATGGTTGGTCACACTGTAGAATGAGAGTATAAGCCTCATAGTCTGGAAAAACCCCGACTGGCCTTGGAGGAACAGACAGTGAAAGGGTCACAGTCCAGGGATTAGAGTTCTCAGACACTGGAAAAAAATGGTACTTAACTTTATTCTGCAGTCCTATGACCCAGGAGCCATGTTTAGGTTGATAACTTGGAACAGTGAAAGGGGGTTTTGAAGTATCTTCCTTCCCTTAATCCAAGACCCAGTTATTCTACCAGAAATTCAGTCCTGAATTGACAGATGGTAAACACATCATGACGCCTCCCTGAGATAGCAATGAGCTTAATGTATTATTTGCTACCGGCCTTTGTCCAAAAGGTACAGAAATGGTAACATTTGGATGGTTGACTGGAGTCAGTGTCGCAGGAGCTGTAGAAAAATTACAGAGTTGGTGAGGGACATGATACAATACCATGTGTGATGCTATAAGAGCATCACTGGGAAGACCTTGAAAAGGGACTTGAAGGAAGTTTTATCAGGAGCCCTAAGGAGAGGCAGTTCATTTGCAGAAACATATAGCCCATGTGTGTGTGGGAAGGAGAAATACGGGTCTTAGAACATGAGAAGTAAGATATAAAATATATTGAAAAAGAGGCCTATGAAACTATAATTTCCCTTTCACCCAGTAGCATTGGAAATCTTTTAACTTTGAAATGACAAAAATTCATAATACTACATATAGACAAAAAAGTCACATTCGCATCTGTTTCCTCTACAGTCTAACAAAAGGCAAGTCTAACAATTGGCCAGTGAAAGGGTAAATAAGGATGAATGGTCATTCCCAATAATATGATCACATTACCAGCAGATGCTAATTTCCCCTTGTCTCCGCTAACCAATTAAACACTGTTCTCTCTTCTCCAATTAGTTCTGACCTTCTCTAAAATCTGACACCCTCACACTTAACGTAGCTTTCCTTGCTACACACACTCCTTCCATTTGGATGGTATTAGTGATGAAACCCAATATCAATTGTATGCTAAGTAAGTGCTTCTTCCATGGAGCCTATCTCCAACCCTTTCAAAATTTTACTTTGAGAGTCTCCCTAATATGCTAAACTTAGGCTGAACTTGAATGCATAAGGTTCTTGCCTCCTAGGATTATAGGCAGGCATGGATCATCATCCACTTAGATTGACTCACCTTAATATGACTGTAGAATCTCTTTCAGATCAGGAGCTCGGAACATGATCCGCTGCTCCCTGGGAAAAGTTCTTAGTGGCTTCAGAGTCAGTAACTTAATCCTAGAGAGGAAAAAACAGTGAACTTCTCATCTCATGCTTGTTTCTTTCAAACATTACTCATTTCTATGATTTCATCTCAGTTTTACACTTGCACAGTCCTCCCTGGGGATCCTGGGAAGGTCCAAGGCAATCTCCTGATCCTGAAATCCTAAGAAACACATCTGCCTTCTCAATCATTCTGTGTGATCTTTGGAAGATTGAAACCGATTAGACGCAGAGCTTTCCATTTTGAAGGATTTTAAAGCAAAACCCCTTGCCATAAATCAAAAACAGAATAATGTATGGAAGAATTCTTGACATGAATGTGCGGTCCAAAGAAAGTGATCAATATTATCAACCAATGGCTCTTAGAGGGTATAAGGATATCAGAGTAGAAACCCTACCTAGAGAAGCCCAAGAACTCAAAAGTTCTTTATCAACAGAAACATCCTCAGATACTATTTGACATTTCAGGTTTTATTCTTTCCTCTAGGAAAAATTACAAACATTTTGCAAAGGAACACCAAATCATTACTGATCTGAAATGTAGGAGTTTGGAAGAGCCTAATGCTGCCAGGCAGGTGTGCTGTTGTAGTCAGCAGGATGAGACCTTCCCAAATTCTTCTAAACAATGTGCCTAAGGCACTTCATCTGTTTGCACTTGGGCTGAAAAATTGTTTCACAGACTCAACCCAGGTTTTTGGATGTGATCTCTACTGTTTCCAGGAACAACAAAATAAATACTATATGTAGGCATTATCCTAATGGACAGTTCTTGCCACTTGGTAAGGAAGATGTATTTCATCTACGGTTTATCAAGCTCCTATTAAATCCAAAGCCTAGAGCTATATGGAAGTAGACAGAGAATATAATGGTGACCCCACCCCATCCTTAATGCCACTATTATTCTGCACTGAGTCCTTACAACTCAAAACTTTGAGTCCTTACAACACTAAAACTTTGAAGGTGATAAGACGTTCATGTAGCACCTGCATCTAAAATTCTCTGACCTCAGAAATGTTCTATTCCCATTGAACACTCCACAATTTTAATAACTACAAATCTCTTCTCAAGTACAAAATTCCAAACTAAGCCATCACATACATACCTTTGATTGATGTACAACATCACATCCTAGTGAGAAAAAAGAAAATATGAGTAACAAATAACAGGCTTTCCTCACTTACAAAGTTTTGTCACATTCTCAGAAGCACCTGATATATTGAGAATGGTGATTTTCCCAGTATGAGACAAAAGACTTAAGATGAAACTCAATCCAACCACCCCATGGCTACTCATGAGATGATTTAAATACATGTGCTTTCACTTATTTTACAGATGCATACTATAATTCACTATTATTTTCTAGGTATAAACAGGTCTTGCAATATCAAAGATAAAGAAATAATAATCCCAGAAAAAGCTTAGATGATTTTGCCGAGGACACAAGTGTTTTCAGACGTATGTTACCTCAAATGAACCTAACCATTTGATGTACATGTATAGGAAATTGTTTCTAATTATATTTTTACTTAGCTTTGCCACTTAAATGTAGTTTAATATGTTCAGTAATGAAAAAGGTCTAAGGCCATATTGCACTGAATGTACTCAATCTCATCAATAATGAAGAAACTATGAACGCTAGGATGTCTAATATTTAATACCAACCAGAATTGACTGTCCTAAAGTTTACAATGTTCACCCTGAATTCTAGCTGTGTGTACTGAGTTTAGTCCCTATCCTTCACAGTTTTTAGTCAGCTCTTCATTTTATCATTGCAGATATACTTTTGTTTGGACAGAAATCTGGCAATGCACTGGCTGCTCTTTACCCTAGATGTCCTTCCCCCCTATAAGTCTAAGCAAAAGTAAGCCATCAGGTGGGTCTAAATACATATGCAGAGTTTTGCTCTTCACACAGTGTAACCCAAATAAAATTCTGTTTAAACTAAACAATATTTAGAGGTAAAATGGGTCTGTAACAGGAAGTTATAACTATGGCACCTGCTGAGTTTTATAGCTTGAAGTTATCTATATGATTGGGTCTACTTTCTTGAAATTCAAGTTTTCCATCCATATAGACTTTATTCCTAGGACATGAAGGCAATGAGACTCCTGATACAAACTTTGCATAAATGACTAGGCATGGTGGCACTCTCCTGTAATCCCAGCATTCAGGAGGTTGAGGCAGGAGGATAGTTGTGAGTTCAAGATCAGCCTAGGCTATGAACTGAGCTCAAAGACAGCCTGAACTGCATAGGGAGACCCTGTCCCAAAAAGACAAAAAGAAAAAAGAAAGAAAGAAAGAAAGAAAGAAAAGAAAAGAAAACCAATTCTTGCAGAAATGAGAACTTTGCTTCTAAGTTTTAACCAAAAGGATGAAGTATGACACCTGTCTGCATTAGATCAGACAGCCATCTTAAGATCCACCTGGAGCATCCACCTCCCTATGTGTCTGGAGGACTGTGGATATCTCAGCAAGCAGGGGAGCATCGCAGGTTCCAGAGGCCCCATGGCCTGCGGTAAGTGCTCAGGGCACTCTGCCCAAAGCCCAGACTGTTCGGGACCCTCCAGGTTTCCGGGTGCAGTGAAGTGCATAAGTGGGTTTGAGGCATCTACATCCGCCTCCCCATTCAGGCTGCGCTTGGAGAACTGTGGAGTTTCCAGCAAGTAGGCAGGCGCACAGTGTCCCTGAAGCCCAGCTTATCTGGAACTACGGAGTTCTAAACAGGCAGAAGAGGGCTATTGGTTCTACAGGCCCAGTGGCTTGGGGTAACTGGATGCCAGAGTCCCAGGAGCTGCGAACATAGAAGTGGATTTCCAACAGTCCCTAAGGAAGCTTTCAAATAACACTTGAAACACAGAAATATAGGAAAATGACAGAACGAAAGACCAAATTACAACCTCAAACCTCCAGCCCATCTCAAGAAACCCTAGGAGGGATGTATATAGAAGAAAACATATGCCATTCACCTCAAATATTGGGCATAATAGCTACTGAAATTAACAAGCAACTCCAGGAAGCTTTAAAGAAATTCAAACCCGAAATAATCTCCCAGGAAAAAGATGAAATGATAAAAGAAATGAAAGAGATTGTGAATATATCTAAAGAAAACAGATAAAAAATTGGAGGAACTAAACAAAAAGATAGAATCCCTAGACGAGCAATATAAGAAACAAACAGAATACATAATGCAGATGCACAGAGATATACAGGAAATAAAAAACTCCACTGAAAGTTGTAAAAACCGCCTTAATGAAAGTGAAGATAGAATTTCAGACCTTGAAGACAGGATTGCAGCTAGTGAACAGGAAAGGAAAGATCTTTTAAAAATAACAAGGAATCAGGAAACAACAATTCAACAACTGCAAGATGATGCAAAGAAAAATAACATAAGAATGATAGGGATTAATGAAAAAGAAGGAGACAGCATAAAGGATGTCCAGAGGATATTTAGAGAAGTAATAGCTGAAAATTTCCCAAGCATGAGATCAGAAACTGACATCAGGATCAGTGAAGCATATAGAACTCCAAATAGTCATAACCAAAATAAAATTACACCCAGACATATATTAATCACCATCCCAGAAATCCAACAAAACAATAGATTATTAAAAGTGTCAGAGAGAAAAGACAGATCACTTATAAAGGAAAATCTATCAGAATCACAGCAGACTTCTCAGCACAAACAATAAAGTCAAGAAGAGCATGGAGTGAAGTATTCCAGATCCTAAAGCAAAATGATTTCCAACCTAGACTGATGTACCCTGGAAAACTATCATTCAAAATTGATGGTGCAATACGATACTTCCATGACAAAGAACACCTGAAGAACTTCATGAACACCAAACCAACCATGCAAAAATATTGAAAGACAGTTTAGATACACAAAGGAAAAACCCACTAAGCAAAGCAGTTAATTAAACAGAACAGAAAGATAAAGATGCAACAGCAGAGAGATAACATGTCAACAATAAACCAGCATTTAACAGTAATAACCATTAATGTAAATGGTCCAATGCACCAATCAAAAGAAACAGACTAGCAGAATGGATCAAGAAACAAAATCCAACCATATGCTGTTTACAGGAAACTCATCTAACCCAGAAGGATACTCACAGACTGAAAGTCAAAGGACGGAAAACTATACTTCATGCAGCAGGAATCCAAAAAAAAGCAGGAGTAGCCATTCTGTTTGTAGACAACGTGAGCTTTAAACCAACAATGACCATAAAGGACAAAGAAGGTCACTACATACTCGTTAGGGTAAAACTCCAAGAGGAAGAGATAACTATCTTAAATATATATGCACCAAATTCCAGAGCACCCAGTTACATAAAACAACTATTAACAGAAATGAAAACTCAAATTATCAGTAACAGAATGGTAACAGGAGACCTTAATAAGTCATTGACACCAAGGGACAGATCAACCAGACAGAAAATGAGCAAAGAAATAAGAGAACTGAATCACACCTGTGAACAAATGGATTTGATAGACATATACAGAATGTTCCACCCAACAACATCAGAATATACATTCTTCTCAGCAGTACATGGATCATTCTCTAAAATAGACCATATATTAGCTCACAGAAAATATTTAAACAAATGTAAATGAGTTGAAATCATTCTTTGCATGTTATCGGATCATAGCGTTCTGAAATTAGAAATTAATGATTAAAGATACTGCAAAAATCCCACAAACACATGGAAACTGAATAACACAATCTTGAGTAATCAGTGGGTCACAGAAGAAATTAAAAAAGAAATTAAACAATACCTATAAGAAAATGAAAATGCAGATACAACTTACCGGAATTTGTGGGATGCAATGAAAGTCGTCCTCAGAGGAAAATTTATTGCACTGAGTTCCCACATCAGGAAAACAGAACGAATACAAATAAATAACTTGATGCTACACCTCAAACAGCTAGAAAAAGAAGAGCAAGTCAAGCCCAAAGCCAAAAGAAGAGAGGAAATTATAAAAATCAGAGTAAAAATCAATGCAATAGAGACTAAGAAAACAATCCAAAGAATCAACGAATCAAAGAGTTGGTTCTTTGAAAGAATAAATAAAATCAATAAGCCCCTAGTCAACCTTATTTAAAAAAAGGGAAGAAAAAGCTCAAATTCATGCAATAAGAAATGAAAAAGGTGAAATCACTACAGACTCTACAGAAATACAGAAGACCATCAACACCTATTTTGAAAACCTCTACTCTCAAAGGTTTGATAACACAGAAGAAATAGACAGATTCTTAGAAACATATGAAGTACCAAAGCTAGATCAAGAGGATGTAAAATTGCTGAATAACCCAATCTCTGTAAATGAAATTGAAAATATAATTAAGTCCTTACCTACAAAGAAGAGCCCAGGCCCAGATGGATTCACTGCAGAATTCTACAAGAAATACAATGAAGACCTAATGGCGACACTCCTCAAACTATTCAATGAAATTTAAAGGGAAGCAATCTTTCCTAAGTCATTCCTGGAAGCAAATATTACTCTAGTACCAAAACCTGAGAAAGACCCAACTAAAAAAAGAACTATAGACCGATCTCCCTAATGAACACAGATGCAAAAATCCTCAATAAAATATTGGCAAATAGGATGCGGCAAATCATCAAGAAGATTATACACCATGATCAAGTGCAATTCATTCCAGGAATTCAAGGATGGTTCAACATACATAAATCAATAAATGTAATCCACCATATCAATAAAGCCAAAAGTAAGAATCACATGATCATTTCTATAGATGCAGAAAAAGCCTTCGATAAGGTCCAACATTCATTCGTGATAAGAACTTTACAGAAAATTAGAACAGATGGTCTTTACCTCAATATAATAAAGGCCATTTATAACAAACCAACAGTCAGCATCATACTAAATGGCCAAAAATTGAAAGCCTTTACTTTAAAATCAGGCATAAGACAAGGATGTCCTTTATCACCACTCCTATTTAATATAGTACTGGAAGTACTAGCCAGAGCAATTAGGTAAGAGAGAAATAAAAGGGGTAAAGATAGGAAAAGAAGAAGTTAAATTATCATTGTTTGCAGATGACATGATATTCTACATACAAGAGCCGCTATACTCCACTGAAAGACTCTTAGATATAATGAATAAAT